CATAAATACATGGTTAAAAATGCAATTAATTGAAATACGTATTTACATACATGGCGGCATGAGTATTATACATTTGAAAGAGTGTCTATTTGATGTATTTCACATGTATTTCCAATTTATTACAAGTGGAGCAAGTGGTGGAAAATAATGTTGAAAAGTCAAAAATAGTGACTGCCTCAAGCAAGAAGCAGCTGTCGGTAAAATAATCATAACTTGAGCTGCAGACATTGGATCGAGGTGATTCAAGTTGGGTTGGAAATATAAGTCACGTTTCTACAACTTTCATGTTTTGGAAGAAGTCAAATTCGTATCACAAAATATCCAAAATTACCGTGAAAAGTCCAGCTTGTTACCTACCGGATACAGCTTTATCTGTGAAGCAGCACTTATTGTTTTTGTCATATCTGGAGTTATATAGATCCAATGAACCTGATATTTGAACCAATGGAAAGCTAACACAAGTGGAAATAATTTATCTGTTGATCATAAGTCCAAATTAGCTGCACAATGTATCTGAAAATTGGCATCAAGTTGCATGTTCCAGCTGTCTTGAAGCTGGACAGAAACAAGTTGCATTGCCTACTTGAATTTTGGATGTTCCTTTGCCTATAAAAGGGGACCTTGGCCACGATTTTGAAGCATCAATTCTCTCCACCATATTCTAGTTTCCTTCATTTTCTTTGTAACATTTCACTATGTATTTCTAAATATTTAGCTAGAGCTAAGGGTGAAACTTTGATGAATGTTTAGTATTGTCTTTGATCTTTCATTTTGTTCTTCAATGTTCATCTTCTTACTTGGTTGAAGTTTGTGTTCTACAAATGGTTTTGGTTTGTTAAAGACTTTGATTTATTGTTGACAATTTTGGCACAATAAATGTTTAGATAATCTCTACATACCAACAACTTATTTTGACATATTCTCTCAAACAATTATCAAGATCTATCTTTTAGTATATTTGTGGTTAATGTTTTATCTTCCATATGAGATCACTCCTTAGTTGATTTTCATATGAGTTAAATTAAAGATCAAGAGCAATTTCTACTCATTTATCCGAAGTGAATCCCCGACGCTCTAGTGTTCGTCTCAACCGTATTTCCATCAACCGTTTATTACTCATAGAATAGTTTATTTCCTTCTAATTCCCTGTGGTTCGACCTCGGACTTACGAGATTTACTACTTACGACAACCTGCACTTGGGTTTGCAACCTTAAAGTTGTAGCAATAATACTTCTATTTGTGTGAGACTCTAGAAAAGACCAAAGAAAGCTATTTTTCGAATCATCGTGTTACTACAATTATTAAAGGTTAATAAATATTTAGTATGAAGATGGTGTTATTTGAAAATATTGACATAAAGATATCGATATTGAAAATATTAACATACAAGACATGAATCGCTTGATACAAGAATTGAAATCAGGAGAGTAATTTTATTCTTTTTTTCGATCAAATTTTCTCTCATTGGGTTCTCTTGACAAGGTTTTAATGAAGAAATATTTTATTGCTTAAAATTACTTTTATTCTTTTTTTCATTTGTTGATATTTTTGTCCAGTTGAATTTTTGCCAAACAATATTTCAACAAGATAGTTATTACTCAAATAATCATCAAAGGGAGAGTACTTTAAAATTATAAAATAACTATTGATAGTTACAAAGTACTCTTATCATTATGTATAGATAAATTTTATCTAGTCTAAAAAGTTTATTTCATTTCAGTAACAACTATCATTTTCAACCCTATAAATATGATCGCCGATTCCCAATAAAATTCTTGATTAATTTAGGAATAATTGCAGTAAAAATTTCAAACGTTTGAAACATTAGCAAACTTTCTCCAAATCTTTAATTTGTTAGAACCATCACCCCAAATGTTTCGAAACATTGCGGCAAAAGCCCTTCTGGATGGTTTCCATCCATTTTTCCGTTTATTGACCAAAAATTTAACTTTGGCCTTTTTTTAATATTTTAAAACGGGGCAAAGAAGAAATTTTTCATTTATCACATTAAGTAATTAAATTAAAAAATAAAAAACACACACGCATACAACCCCGCCTTCTTCCTCTCACCACTCGCCCACCCCCACCTCGAACTCAAACCCAAAATTTACAACAACCACCATCACAAAACTAACAAACCACCCAAAATCAGCAAATCCTCCAATGTAATAGTTAGTCTCATAACACCATCTTTTTGCAAGCCCAAAAATAAAATCACTATCATCAATAGATAAAACAGACGGTTTAATAAAATGGGCTTTTCTCGAAGTTGGTATACCTCCAGTGGGTGAAACCATTAACTCATGTCTTTGCGCCACAATGGTACCTTGAACTGATGCTGTCATGATTAAGACTCACAAAGCTGTATCCTAGAAATATAATAATAAAAGTTAAATCTTTGTAGAAATAGCTATTGTCAAATGATAAGGCTATATTCTAGGTAAAGATATAACTCTTTATTGAGGTTGAGGTGGAGGTGGAGGTGGAGGTGGCGCTGGTCAGTGTGGATTTTGGGTTTGAATTTGGGGTAGGGATGGGTGAGGGGTGAGAGGAAGAAGACGAGGTTGTATGTGTGTTTTATTTTTTATTTTAATTATTTAATGTGATAAATGAAAAGTTACTTCTTTACCCTTTTTTAAAATATTATAATTATGGTCAAAATTAAATTTTTGTCGACTGGCGGAAGAATTGATGGAAACCATCTAGAAGGGCTTCCAACGCAATATTTTGAAAGGTGTGGGATGATAGTTGGAATAAATAAAAGATTTGAGAAAAGTCTGTTAATGTTTTAAAGGTTTGAGGCTTTTGTTGCAATTATACCATTAATTTATAGGGCTGCGGGACAACTGTCTATCGCATCCTTACGGTGGTGGAAAAGTTGGTTGTTGAGGTGTTTCTTTCTTCTTTCTCACCACCTCCTCCTTTTCCGGTCGCTTTCTGAAACCTTACAAATTCATCAATCTCGATGCCCTTTTCACGTTTGCCCATTCGAGAAGAAGAATTTAGGATTTCTGAGCATATAAATCTTGTCCTTAGTTGCATCAGAATCTGTTGAAACAAGTAACTAACACTGGTGGGTTTTTTTATGAATAACACGAAGTCGGGTCGGATTTGAATGATGTTTCCGGCACCGGATCTGGTTCATTATGTATGCATTGCCAGGGACACCACTGTGTTGGCTGAGTTCAATTCGAAGGATGAGAAACTTGGATCGATCGCCGTAAAATGTTTGGAGAAAAAGCCGCCGTTTCATTCCACCTTCTCCCACACAGTCCGCTTCCAAACCTATGCTTTCTTGATCGATGACCCGTTTGTTTATTTCGCGATTTTTGATGAAAAACTGGAGAAATTTGAGGGATTGGGCTTCCTCAGGAGCGTAAAAAAAGCTTTCGATAAGATTTTCCAGGTTGATCTGGGGAAGAAGAAGTTGGAACGGCTGAGTTCTCATTGTTTTCAGGGGGAATTCAATCCGGTTTTCCATCGGTTACTGGGTCAGGGACCGGGGACGGAACCTGAACCGGAGGTTCGAAGAGGGGAAAGATTGGATCAAAGTGGCAGTTTTTATTCCGGGTCAGGCTATCTGGGTATGCGGAAAGAGGATTCATCGATGAATTTGAAAAAGAAAATGAATAGATTGTTTGGGGATTTTAAGATTGGCAGTGGGTGCATGAAGGGAAAAGGAGATGTCGAGAAGAAAGTTGACATTGGGGGTGAAGACGATGATAGGGGTGGGATTTTATTGAGCAGGGAGTTTTCAGTGGCAATGCATAAGAATGGGATGTACTCTGGTGAATTGATGGGAAACCACAACCATCACAAGGCCAAGAAAGTTTGGAAAAAGCAAGTGTGGATTGTGTTATCACTTGATTTGTTTGTTTGCACAGTCTTGTTCATCGTCTGGTTGTGCGTTTGCCGCGGTTTCAAATGCATTGATAGTTGAGTTGATTCAGGAAATGATGCAAACTCCTTTTTTTTCAGCTATTTGTGCTGTTCTGCAATGGCAGTTTGCTTTGGCTTCTGATGGTAATGTTGATTCAGTGTAACAATAAAGTGTGTATATTTCATGGGAAAAGTTCATAAACGAGTTTATTTCTCTTGTTTACTTATTGAGTCGTTTTTCAATTGTGTATACATGCACATATTATATGCCTCGTATGCCAAATTGTTTCTTCTATAGAGGATTCACTGATATAATGGATTCAAATTTAATGCTTAGACATTTGAATGGAAGTGCTTCTTTCTTATGGTTATGGTGTTTTAACTCTTTATACTTGGTGGTGGCATAACTTCTTGAAGTAATTTTTCCGTATACAGTTGTTTTCACGAATTTTACTTTACTCTGGAAAGATTGTGTAACATGGATGCCCTGCCCTATTGGGTCTTTGTCACATCTAAGAGATGATGAGGAGATTCCCTATTGCATTGACTGAATTTTCTCGAGGCGTTTTCTCAGCCCTTTTACTTTCCCTGAAAAAGAAGGGGCGCCTTAGATGACCATCTCTCAAAAGTCTTGACCATATGCATGTACCTTTGATGTGGTAAAGCTCGTGGGCCTCTTAATAGTGTTCGGGATGAAAATTGGAGTCTCATGTTTCTTCTAAATATGCATTGGTAAAACCTGAAAGAAATGCCTTCCATTGTAGCTTTACAAAATCTTGTGGTATGGTAAGATAGGGACTTTGGAATGGTATGCTGACTTTATAAGGAAATATGAAAATCCGTACAACCAACAAACACTATTACATCCTTCTCTGATGGATACATAGTTTCTGTTAGGAGTATATTTGTTTATAAAATGAATCAGAAATATTAGAAAAGAACTTTGATGACTTGATTAATTTTAACATGATGCTGCATTTTGCCTTAAGATTTTGCTCCGCAAGTTTCAGTGTAATTCTCACAGAATTCTCTTTAAACACTGTGACATGCATTGCAACTCCATCCATTATCGTATTGTAATATCTGGAGAGTAGAAGACTTATGGGTTGTTTGATAAGGTGGGCTGTGCAAAGAAAAAAATAAATCTAGTTTTGTATTATTCATACTATGTTAGCGGATTTCTTTTTCCTCCTATTGTTGGTCAAATTCATTTTTAAGTATTATGGTCTACAGACTTCATTAGAGAAAATTTGCTCATCTATGTTTGCATATATGACAAACTTAATTAGTACCAGAGTCTGTCCATGATAAGATTAAAGCATCTTCATCTACTTGAAATGGTTAAAAAAACAAGTGTAGAGTGCAAGTGTATTTATGTGGATATGAAATTTTTGTGATACATAATCTGAGATTAAAAGTTGAATGAGTTTTTCCTTAACACATTCATAGAGAAATCTTTGATCAAAGATGGAACAAGACTCCTTTTGCATTTATCATAAGTGCTTCTAGGTTTGAACCTCATTGGAAATATATAAATAAGAGAAACAACTGTAAATGGAAAGGATTAAGAAAAAGGGTTTTCAATGGGAACGTGCTATATGTATACTTTACTTGACATCTTTTTTAACATTGTGCCACATGTCGTTTTATGAGTGGATAGTTTTTAAATGCAACACACTTTCCCTCAAATTGCAATTTGAAAATGGAGTGTCAACAATCATGTCAACCAAATAATGTACAAATGGCTTAATCCTTTTCCATGAGATGAGAAATAAATGTGCAAGTCCCATATGAAATTCAAGCACTGTGTTCGTGGGTGAGAGGGTTATTGTATTTCTTCTTAATTCCTTTATTGCCATAACACAACTCTGAATATTGCAAAAAACTTATCTTGATTAATCTTTGCATGATGCTACATTGTGCCTCACAAAATTTCCTTCGCTAATTTGTTGTATTCATATAGAATTCCATTGCATTCAAATCTATTGCCATGTTCCTGCTTCGAGATGCTTAGTGAGTAAATCATAAATGGCTTGGTAAAATTTACGAGGTGCTTTGCTCTTTCGTTAGGGTGAGTCAATTGCTGTATTTTATGTTCTTGGACTTTCTCAACCTTTTCTAGTAAGCATTTTTCTTTATTTGTTGCTTTCATATTGACACTATGTTATCGGTGTTTCCTTTTGTGTGCTTGCCAGTTTGTATATTTGGAGCATCTGCAAAATTCACAAAACAGATTAACATTTCCGACTTTCTAATTCAACAGCAAAATAATGTGGATAAGGAAGTTAGCTAATACATAATACATTTTTGGGAAGGAGATAAAGACTTTCTTTCATCTGTATCATAGAGAAATCTTTGATTAAATGAAGAACGAGATGACTTTTGGATCTATCAAACACTTTCCTCGGTTTGAGCATGCAGAAAATAAACAAAAGATTAGGTCAAGCAAAAGAGGCTTGCATGGACCTTCTCTTCTTGTAATTGGCCTTGAAGCAAGCTTGCCTCAGTTTCTTGGTTCTTTCAGTCAGTTCCATTTCTGGGAGCTGCTCTAGCTTTCTTTTATGTTCCTCCAGCATTTCAATCTCATTGGTCAAGCCCAGTTCCTGCAATCAATATTTATATGGAAACAGAGTAAGATTTATCGAAAATATAAGCAGAAACATAAACCTAGGACTTGCTCCAATAACATAAAAGCCCAAGAATGTCGTGTTTCTAGCATCTGTATCACTGTGATGACTTACCTTAACATTGTCGATAAGGCACTTTATGCTCTTAATCTTTCTATGAGGCCATCGCATGATGTTTAGTTCTCTGCATCGTTTCTTTAAGACAGTCAATCCGACATTCAATTCCTTAGCAGCTTCAGATATTGGAACACCAAAGTATTTTTGAATTTCGTCCAATTCCAGTGCACAAGATTTGTATCTTCTAACTCTTGTAATCCCCTTGTTTCTGTCTGGAACTGATAATTCTCTACCATAAACCACATTCATGGCTTCACTCAGAACATTGTCACGTCGAGGATCGCCCAAAGCTGTGTTCAAAGGCTTGGCTTCAACGTCTATTTCATTGTAAAGAGATTGTAGGTTCAATGAATCCCACAAATCAAAGTCACCGGAAATTTCTTCAAAGTCTATCAGTTCATAGCTGGAAGGATTGCTTTTTTGATAAGGTAGTAAATATTTATCACACTCAAATAAACTAGGTACACTATTGTTTAAGCCATCTCCAAATACAGACTGTTTTTCCCAAGATCTACAAAATTAAGAAAACAAAATGAGTTCATGCGCAATGGTAAGTTCGACTCAACAGGATTGAGGGCCCTTTTGGGTTTTTGCTTTCGATTCATGTAGAAGAACTTTTGAAGGAAATTAATTTAATTTTTGTCTGGATTCAGAAGTGCTTTTAGAGGAAGCCATATTGGAAAAACTTTCAAAGTTTTCTAACTAGAAGTAGCACTTTCATAAAATTAGTCAAACGGGTCTAAAAGTAGCTTTCCGGTCTTAAAAGTTCCTTTCGATTTTTCAAAAGCAATGCCAAACGGACCCTAAGAATGACTGAAAGAGAGACTCGAACAAATCTGCCTAGTTTTGTCTACATTCCAAGAAATCAAATGTAAAATATAACACAACTAAATTACCCCCGAGGCTGCTGTTCTTCCAAGTATAAGAAATCTTCCAACTCAAAAACACCAAGTTCACTATAATCCATTGCAGATGGAGAGAACATAAATGTATAAATTGGAAAGAAACAGAAGGGAAATAGTGTATAAATTGATGAGAAATTAGATTGAATTTCGTGCACACGATTATGGAAGTTACATATGAACATAATTATGAGTGCATGCATGTATTAAATGACAAACAAGGGACTGAATCATTCGTTGTTCTTGGTTTAATGTTAATGACGTATGTATTTATTTTGGTACAGTAATGTTCCAATTTATTGTGTTCATATTTCGTATTTCTCATCCTTCTTGCAAGTCCCAAAAGATGGCTAGGCTGGCATGAGATGAATAAATCGTAATTTCAGCTGGGTTTGAATATCTTGGTAAAGAAAGAGAGACACACCAAATATCCAAGGCTCGAGTTCAATGAAGCTGTCACGAACAAACGTGTCAAGTAGGTTGTGTCTAGCTATCTAAATTTAGAGATTTCGAAATTTTTGTTTGGTCGCCATTCGATTTTTTCAAATTTGTTAAATGGCACTTCTTATAAAAGGAAAAAAATATATATATATATATATTTGAGTCGGGTTGATCGAATAATTTGATCTTATTTTTAAGGTGATTTGTTTGGTGTTTATTATAGGCTTACGACGTATTGCCTCGATTTCTTTATTTGAAGTGTCTTTTACAACTTTTTTCTATGGTTCTTTGTGTTTACTATATCATAATATATTGCAAACAAAAGACACTTTTTCCTATATAAAATGCATAGATCAAAAAAAACATTTCTTAGGTAATTTTCCGAGTTTTATTTTTGTCAATTTTCTCTCGCAAGTGAACATATTGTTATAAGAAATAAAATGATGAATAGAATATAATTTCTCATGAGGAATGATCATTGATTGTATTTCAATTAAGATTGACTTCTACAAAACACACACAACAAAAAATAAGGTTTTAAGTTTGATTTCCTAATTAAGAAATAAACTATGTAAATTAATACTAATGGAGAAGGCAAGTATTAAGTATAAAATCAATTTGGAAAATATTTAGGAATCAATTGTTAGTCGTAGCTAAAAATCTATTCAAGAAGCATGATCAAGAATCAAGACAAGAAGAATTTGACATAAACACCGTCAAGTAAATATGAGAACAGGAAATAATTCTCTTCAATTATAATTTCATGAGTTTGAACGTCTTAATGCTTAAAATTTCTTGACTTAATTCTCCCAAAATATGGGTTTTTATGTATTTTTACTTGGTATTTAAGATGTGTTTTTCTTCTTTTCCTTGTCACATTTTCTTGATCTAAGTTTTGTCTTTATATAAGCATAGAAGTCACTTCAAATTAAGTCGTGCCATGAGAAGTATTCACAATATCCTTGAAGCCTCGCTCGACCTGTAGTCATATTTGAGGGGAGAACCCCTTCAAGCGTGCAGCCTCGCACATATCTTTTCTTCAAATTTGGATATCAAGCCATGCTTTCAAATTTCATGCAAGTTCCTTAACTTTTGATTTTGACAATTTCAGTCTTTCAAGTTTCAATCATGTCCAAATTGGTCCCTCGTCTTTCAAACTTGCTCATTAGTCCTCCAACTTTTATTTCCTTCAGGCTTGGTCCTCTAATTTTCAGAATGTTCACTTTTGGTCCCCAAAATCTCCAGATGTAGAATATGACAACAACACAAAGATGAGAAAAGGGTTATAACTAAAATATTGATTTTGAAACATAGATTGTTAATTCAATTTTTTTAACAATAAAGTTAAGTGTGTTGTTGTCCTTTTTAGTGAACTTTCACCGTACGAAACCTTGGTTCATTTATTATACAAGTCATGACAAATGATCAAAATCTTTATAAATAATGTTGACACGGGCACAATCATTCTTTTGTAGTAACTTCTTATTTGATGCATTAACTTATTATTCGAGATAATAGAATTACAGAAAATTAATATCTCACATGACAAACTAACACAGATGATTAATTAATACAGATACCCACTATAAATAGCAGTATTCTTAAAGATATCAATTTGAAATCACTCATCTAGGAACTTCGTTTTGTAATGTTTCTTGATGCATTGGTTCCTAAGGCAAATACATTGACGAGGCCGTGCCAATAAATGATTTGGTTTTTATGGCATTAATACGAGAAGCCGTCACTTCTGGAATTTGGACCGACGCAGCATACTTTCTCACAATTATTGCTATTCATCGGACGTATTGGAATGCGGCATACGCGTGAGTATATATATATATTGCTAATTATTACTAATTAATTAAGCCCCCTTTTTTTCCATTATTTTTCCATTAAAATGAAAAATATGATCGTTATCCATCACATCATATCATCATATTTGATTTTATATCTCTTATATAGGACCCATAACGACTATATTTTTCATTCTCATTTTTACATTAATGTGTATCAAACGGGGCCTAAATTTCAAATTCTTAACATATATACAAATAAGCACAACTTATGCCCCTATTGATGGCCATTATTTATTCAAAACAATGTTTTGAACAGTGAATTTTTGGAGAATACGTGATTAAAAAGTAGGAAAAAATTTTGAATTTATTTACAGAATATTTTATTGTGTGAATGTGCCATTAAAAATGAGTTTGTCGAATAAAGAGCTAGGAAATAATGATAGTCAAACAAGGACATAAAAAATCCAACCTATAAATACATTAGCTTTGTGAACACGTGACAAGGAATGTTTAGGGTGCTTTCGGTTTGCGTTTTCTGTTTTTTATTTTCAGTCTTAAATTCATTTTCTGCTTTTTGTTTTGAAATATTATTTTAAGATTACAGAAAATGTGTTTGTTTGTCATTCTAAAAAAGTGTTTCTAAAATAAATACAAAATAAAAAAAAAATAGAAAGCCCGTTTAGCTTAAAAATTATAAAAATAATTTTATGACATTTTGGAGGAGTTTGTGAAAAAAGAAAGAGAGAGATTGGTAGATGTGTATTTGTATTTGGAGGCAGATTTTGTGTGATTCTATTAATTTGAAAAATCTTTAAATTCATATTTCTTGTTTTGAGTTTTGTGCGGTAAAATTTTCCTTATTTTTGAAAATAATATACCAAACACGTTTTGAGTGTTTTAAAAAATTGAAACCTGAAAATGATCTTAAAACGGCAAACCAAAAGCACTCTTAATTATTCATAGAACGGGTTTCATATAACTTTTGCTTTTGCTTGTTGCAAAAGAAATTCTTGAATAAGTTTTTAAGGATAAAATCAAATATTGAATAAAAATAAAAGTATAGACCAATTTATAAAACTTTGAATTACTCATCTTAATAAAGTTGATCTTTTAATACAAAACATGTTTCTGTTTTTATATAGAAGTGATTTGGAAAGAAGGTGTGTGAGGGTGAAGAGGTTGTAATGGAGTAGTCAATTTTTTCGATGGAGAAGGAGGTGGGGGTAGGGTAGGGCAAGATGGCGTGGTGTGGTGGCTGATAGTATTACTACAACAAAATTTAATAACTACACCACACATTATGTCTATGTTTAGTGGCAGGGGCGGACCTGGGTGGGGCGGGGGGATTATAGGGGCAATTGACCCTCTAGATTTTGGGGGGGAAAAAAATTTGCTTAGTTTTTTTTTTTCTTAGCTTTTTTTTATTAGAAGATACCCTATAAATTTTATTTTTGACCCCCTAACCCAAGTCGTCTGGATCCGCCCCTGTTTAGTGGGAATTAAAATCAAATCTTTAGTATATTTTGATAGAAATGAATGAAATGTGTCATTAAAAAGTTACGAAACTCATAAAATATGTGGTTAAAATAAATAATTAACGTTGACTTAGATTAAAATTTAAATATAAATTAATACCAAACATAGGCTATAATCACACCACAATTAAAATATATTTTTATTAGATACACCACGACAAATTTACGATTCTCAATCCAATAGAAACTCTAAATGAAAAAATAAAAATTAAGTACACTATGTGATATACTTATCACCCCAGTATTACTACACATTTTCTTATTTAAAAAAAAAAAAAGGACGAATGCTTAGAAAATCATTCATATATATATATTTATTTATTTATTTATTTTACAAATTGGAGAGAAATTCACTTCACCCATTTGGAGAAGAAGATGGGGGGAGAGAGTTTTTTCCCTTTTTTTTTATTTTTTTTTAATTCCTATTTTAATGTTTTATTACAGAAAACGTCATTTTCACTAATTTGAAACGTAAAAACATTTTGCACACTATAGGCAAAATGTAGACACGTTTTGTGCTATTAAACTTTTTAATAATTATTTGAACTTACTTACACTTTTTAAAATCTTTAAAAGTAAAATTATAATTTATTCTTTATTTTATTTTATTTAAATGGAAGGGTATGTTGATCATTGTACATTAAAAAATGGTGAAAATGACATTTCTTACAATGAAACGTTGAAATATGGACAAAAATGTCAAAAAATGAAAAGTATGAACATTTTGCACAATAACATTGAAAGATAAGGACCTTTTGTGCTAATTACCCAATTTCTTTTATACATGTAAGATAAAATTATCACGAAAAATATAACCATTCTTGTATATTAACTTAAGTTACTTCCAAGACTTTTCATCCAATCTTACGGTCCATCAAGAAGCAAGTTAATTGCTCGCTCTTGGCCTGCAATTTGATTTATGAGTCAAATTCATGACATCTCGAACAACTTTCAACTCAAATCAAATAATTCGCAATTAACAAACAACAAAGTCTCTAAATTGAACTAAGTACTCCGATTTCTATGAAATATCTACAAATTAAAACATCAATATAAACCAATAGTTCTCAAAATATTAAGAAAATGTTGGTTCTACACTCATATTAACCTTAACTTGATTTTCTAATTTGAATTAACTTGAATGTTAATCACACGGTCATCCTAAGGACATCACCCACCTCATTTATTCTGACCCCACCCCTCGAAAAAATATCGAGGATAACTAGACATAGATGGCTCTCAAGCCCTTTGATATAGTCCGATTATCTTTGAACATTCAAGTGTATCTGTGTATAACCCAAAACTAGATAGAACATGAAGAGAGTATTTCACAACAATTGCATGAAACAAAAGATGACGAATTGGGAAAACTGGTTATAAACACTCTTCAACTGTTTAAGCCAAGTATTCAAAATACCTACTTTCTACCCTTACAAGTACAAAGAAAGGAGTTAAAATTAATTGCACATAATATTCAAAATACTTAAAAATAAACAATCCCCAACATACTTATATTGCAAGTTGATAACATCAAAACGCTTCATGAAAACAGACATCATGTCAAAGATAACATCAAAACACTTAATAAAAAACTACACATTCGTCCCTAAAAGCAAATTACTTGGGAATACCTCCTGGGCTGTCAAAGATAGATAGCACTGAAGTTCACATCATCAAAGATGATTCCTTTGACACGGGCAGTAGCATTTGATGCTTATGGGGCAGAGGATACCAGGAGTTAATTCGACAAGTATATGTACAAAACTGGAATTTTCAGGTCCAGCTAAATATTTGCTTGCTGATGGAGATCGCCTTGATCAATTGTTATATATATACCTGAAGTGGAGACGCACATTTCGCAAGCTGTTCAGTTACACTTCAAGCTGTTTATTCTCATCATTGAGATTGAACAAGCAACTTTTATGAGTTCCATTCCTGTCACAAAAAATTGATAAAGCAAAAAAGAGAAGTGAGACGCGCACGCGCACACATATATAAACCAATGAATTTGACAAATAATCACAACCCTTAAGCTAATCCACAGGTGTAGATCTATTAATACCTTTATTGGGGTGTGTTTGGATGCAGTTATGGGGATTTAAATGATCTAGACCGTCATTTATATATATATGTGTGTGTGTGTGTGTGTGTGTGTGTAAGCATTTATTATGTCCACGGTCTGAACAAAGGTTATGGCAAGGTGGTTACAAGCCTACAACCAAGATGGTAGAATTTTCGTCAAATTGTTTTTCTAATGTAATTTTCTTAAAATGAATGTAAAAACGTTTTTTTGACTAAAATCACAATAATTCCCAAAAGTCAATAAGGCATCTCCTTTTAAGGACAAAGTAAAACAGGCAAGATTTTATTGATTAACTAAGAACATGAAGAATATCAAGAAAATTAAGCATGCTATAAACTATCAAAAGATGCATGATTTGAACTGCCAAGTACCTCAATGTTCATTATCAAAAATGCTGAATACTGGCTGCTTACTCTTGCCATAAAACTTTTCATCATTGTTCGTGACATCAAAACAGCCAAGGATCTAGGATTCGCTCCATTGCAAGAAAACAAGAAATATCCAACTCAATAAGCCACTGTTGTCAATACCTAACCATTTTCTTGTGTTTTTTTCTCAAAATGGATAATCTTCTTTGCAATGGACGTTTCTCGTTATTCATACCCATTTTGTCCATGGAACATACAATTTTCTTGAGGGTTTCCATGACCTCCTCACCCTCGTGGCCAAAAGCTTTCTCCTGAATTCTCAGAACCCTCTTGAGCAGCTCCAACAACTCACTGTCGTCCTTCCCTGATCGTGACCGAATAGAGACCAAACAGTCAAGAGCCTCTCCTGTTTCACAAATTCACGAAACAAAAGCGTGAAAACAATATGGACAAGGAATGCACAGAAACATAGTTTATATAAGAAACTAAGCCACTATATAATGACTCTGAGTTAACTGAATTAGATCTCAAGGAAACTGCTGAAAGTGCGTTGAATGTACCAACCTCTAGTCAAATTTCTGATGGATCACAAGGTCAAACTTTCAAAAGAATTCACATGATAAAATCATCTCTCAATGTCGCATATAGGAGGTATGAGCGTGTTTGGCTAAGCTTAAAAAGAAGCAAGAGTTACTTTTTAAGCTTCTTTCTTGCCAAACATAATTTACAAGTTGCTTTTTATACTAACAAAACTTTTCTAGAAAGTAGGTCACTTTCTAGAAAAGTAACATTTAAGCTTAGCAAACATGATATGTAATCCAGCATACAGCAACCAACTGCACAACAAGAAAATTACCAGTCGGTAGAGATTCTCTTCCAAATGCCTTCTCACGGATGCGTAGAACATCGAGAGCAAGTTTTTCAGCTTCTTCATCTCGATTTAGATTGTACAGAGTGATGGCAAGATGTAACATCGGGAATGTGAGGGACTGATCATCGGGGGGCACAGTCTTCATCATAATTTGCAAACTTATGCTCAGCAAGCGCTCAGCTTCTACAAAATTCTTGTAGCGTGAATAGGAAGTTGCAAGATTTACAAGAAGTGGTACTGAGCTGGGATGTTCTTTTCCTTTATACTTCTCATTTATTAACAAGCATTTCTCCAGAATGGCTCGGCCTTCTTCTCCTCTGTGTTTTATCAAAAATAGAATTAAAAGGACTAGGTTTCCTAAAAATAAAATAAATAAAATAAACAAAATTAAAGAAGACTGTAATACTGTGCAACCAACTCCAGCTGTTGCCTACTTTTTAACCACATCACAAAAAATACTATCACAAAACACATTTTTTACCAAATATAAATAAATAAATTTAACCACATCTCAAAAAATACTATCACAAAACACATTTTTTTAGACAAAAAAAAAATAATAATAATAATAATAAAATAAAAATAAATAAAATGGTGGATGGCTCAAACACAATCTTAATGTATACTAATTCAACAACCAATATCATACTCTTAATAGCCTCTACATCTTGACATAACGAACTTAACTGCTCACTCTAAATGGTTTTAAGACATCTTCCTACAATTTATACACTTAAAAAACTCAGTGCACAAAATGCTCAGGGAAATCTATTAAAAAATTATAATGAGGAGACAATGAGAGATACCCAACAGTTGGGATATTTCATACCTTCCAGTTGCATGAAGTAATTCAGCCAAGTCTACTCTCATCTGTTCCATTGCAATGTCATCCAATTCCATGTATTTTGAATCCTCAAGGATTTGAAGGGCCTTCTTGTATAGATCAATGGCTTCATTCACATCTCCTACAGAAGGCCGCACAAGAACAAAACACGTTAATGTAGAAGACTTTAGGTGGACATTATTTTGAAGGAGGCCAAGATGATGACGCTAAGATTTCACGTATGAAACTTCTTGTAGCCTACACTATTCTACAATAGCTTGGGTGCTTTATAGTTTTTAATGGATCTCTCTTTTGGCTTGTCCAAAGGGGAAAACATTAAAGAATAAAGAAGCAAATAAATAGGGCGTTCATCATACATCTTTTTTCTCCTTTTCTTTCAGGTATCAAAAATGAATTCCTATGCCACAATTCAATGAATTGAACCTAAATTTGCCACTTCCTCTTCTATTTACATCATTATGCATAGTGAAACCCTCATCTGACATGGTAACTCCAAAGTTATCCTCCAAAAAGAACAAAAACAGGAAAAATTGATATTATTCATGTCAGATAGGAGACAATTTTTATTTTCATGCTCCCAGATCAGTGCAAAATACCAACAAAATACGCAACTAACCTATAATCGTCACATGAAAATTTGAATTGAGAGAAATGTGTGTGTGTGTGTGTGTGTGTAAAGAATGTAACATAGAAATTCACCTTTTGCACATTTCACCTGTGCCAAGGAGCACATAGCCAATCCAACTCTTCCATCTTTTTCTCCATATGTATTCACATAAATTAGGATTCTGGATAATGCAGGCAAAAGGTAAGAATGTAAAAGGTAATGATCAGCAAGCAAAGAATCCATAATAACCAAATACTATACAAGATAAAAAGTATTAACCTATTGAAAGGGCTTTCAGCATCCGGTGCTCGTCCTTCCTTCACTAAAAGATTGCCCAGTGCCAATAATGGCACTGCCAATTCCTCATTTTCCCCACCCCTACTAGATTCTAATAGCGTAATCACACGCTGGTATGTTTCCATTGCCTCACTAGCTCTTCCCATAGAACCAAGCACTTTAGCCATCCCCAGCAACAGCATGGTAAGAAATGAGCTGTTGTTTCCTACATGACAGTAGAAAACATAGATTTGATATGGTGGCTGTTTTAAACAAATTGGTTAAGAGAATTTATATGAACGGTTATTTGATAGAATTTATATGAATGGTTATTTGATTAGCCATCTAACCAAAATACTGAAACCTGTTCATTGTATCCAGAAAACCCAAAACTGGATGACAAAATGGAAGAATATCCTAAATCCTATTTAAAAGTAAGCGCCACCCTCACCCTCAACAAACACAAACAATAAAACAACCATGACAGAAGAAGAAACCGCCATTAATTAGTAGAATTGACGTGAATAAAATATCAAAGTTGAACCTACCATATGTTCTTTCCATAATTTGAAGGGATCTCTGGTAGAAACCAATGGACAGCTCAAACTTTTCCAGCTTGTCATACATACTTCCCATATGCATGAGTATCGAATCCAGAAGAGGTTCCTGATCCTTCAACCTATTTACAATCTTGTTCAACTGGATTCACATTTAATAGATCCTCAGGACAAATATTGTCAAAAAGAACAAAACTAAAGAAAGTATTATAATCCAGAATAAGATGGCAAGGTTGCTTAAAAAGAATTCCATCACAGAACAAAGGGAAGCTGAGATAACCATCAAAATTTTATTTAAAAATAAAAAATCTCATCGTCAGTTTACACAAATCTCCAAGTTGCATGAACAGATATGTTTTCTATCAAAAATAAATAAAAGATAGATTAGTTGAATATGAAGAAGCTCACTTTGTCAATTAAAATCCAGATGAAACTTCTCTCTCTCTCTCTCTCTCTCTCTCTCATTTTTTTGAGTAATCACATTCAAGGAAATATGTTTATGGATTAAACCTGGCTTCATATAATTGAAAATTTTATATAAAGAATGCAGAAATATTGTACCTAGATATGTTGCAAGATATATTACCACGTCTAATATTGACCCAACAGTCTGCAAGTCTCCAATAACCATGTACCCCAAGGCTATTACATCAAGAATAGCAGCTTCTTCTATGCCTGTAGCACCTGAAGCCATTTGTTCTTTAACAGCTTCATAATTCGCCTCAAGTAAATCAACTGCATCATTTTCCTTTCCCAATTGAATCATAGTTCTTACTTCATTAAACAACTCCTGCAGTTGGCTTTCAAGATCATTCATGCTGTTTTGGAAGTTCATTGAGTTCTCATTCAAATATCTAGACCTGTTAATGAAGCAAATTATAGTTAAATTAAGGCATGGAATCTACAATATAGCCCCTATTTGGCCCCCATTAAATTCTATTTTTCTCTCTCCTATATTCAATCACACAATCTTCCATAAAATAATATTATACATAAATCGAAAACTTTTCCTTCTTTTTCAACCACCCATTTTTCAAAAAAAATACTATTCCACCCATTTTCATTTCTAAAAAATGGGGTCCAATTGGGGCATAATAAACTTTTAGAGTGATGTCTTCATCTCAAATGCAATGATTTGGTTCATATAAAATGTTTCACCTAGCACAGGCCAAAAAAAAAAAAAAAAAAATTGTTCTCTTGTCATCATTTGGTGTGTGGTTTGTTTAATGAAACTTCTCAAAACAAATTACTACAAAACAAAAAAAAATTTCAGTAAATTATAGGCTAGATGGTTGTTCGATGAGTGGTACTGGCTGTTTGTTTGATGAGTGGTACTGACTGTGGGCAGTCCATTATTGTTGTAAAACCTGCTACTTTACGTGATGATGAGGAAGGTCAATGATGGTAACATAACCTTATATGGCCGAATGTGGGAGTACGTGGCAGTGTTAGAGACAGTATAAATGGGCATTGATGGTGAGAATAGTGTTGCTTGGGACATCACATGCATGTTATCATTCCATGTTTTCGCATGAAAGATAACTTTCTAAATATTTATTTAAATCAAATATTATTTCAAGGACAGAAATGAAGGATGCTTAACTTACTTACACCAAATAATTCATATACATTGTAAGAATTTATGTACGAACACAAATTGCTCGTATAGAAATAATGAAACGAACGATTATGGTAGGCTCATTCGAGGAATCCTTGACCTCCAAATTGACTTTCCGAGGAACTTACCTCGAAAAGCATAGAAATGCCAAATAATTTCTTCTCTCTTTAAAAAGAAATAGAAGATACCTAAAAGCGCTTCCTAATTTCTAGATAATAGTCACAAATCCATTTAACACCTATAATGCCTAAACAATGACTCAACAACTATGTTGATTAAATCCAACTAAATCCATAGATAAAATAAAATTCTAGCTAAATAAACAATAGCTAAAATACATTTTCTAAAAATAAAGTAAAAACTGAATTCATAAGTGATAAAACAATGTATAATAAGCCCCTGTTTGATCCCCATTACATTAAATTCTATTACATTTCATTTTTCTCTCTCCTATTTTCAACCACACAATCTTCTATAAAATAATATTATACGTAAATCGAAAACTTTTCATTCTTTTTCAACCACTCATTTTTCAAAAAAAACACTATTCCCCTCATTAATTTTCCTACGTAATGGGAATCAAACAGGGGCTTAATGTATAAGCAAAATCAATCAGAGACCTGAACCCATTTGCCTGGTTTTCACCATCAATTTCTAGTGAGTTAGCAGTTGCTAAGGTTCTCGAATCACAACAACCAGAAAATAGTCCACCAGGCACCATTTTGAGCTTTAAATTGCATTTTTGCCATGTAATACTCGTACGAGCACGGAAACGCACAACTCCTTTCCGTAACTGGGGGAGGTACAAGTGATTTTTTGGATGCACTAGATTCATCCTGAAAAATATTCAACAACAATGACAAATACCAAAAGTGAGAAACAACTCTGGAATATCATGAAAGAAAAATTCAGGTTATGCAACATCAGTTTTACGGTTCCATAAATAAATTAAAAGGATAAATTGAAACCCAAAAGAACCAAGGATTGAGCAACAAGCAGTAGTCTGTAGACCGATATAGAACAAGAAATTTACTTCAAAATTATTATACAACTACCAAAATAGAAAGTTGCTTCATCTGCATATAAATAGGGGAGAGGGAGAGGGAGAGGGAGAGGGAGAGAGTATGACCTGAGAGTGACGGCGATTGAGAGAGTATAGAGAGACGCAGCCATTTGTGGAAGTTTTTGCGAAAGTACTGGACGAATATAACTGCGATTATGCTGAGCGGTGGAGCTGAGATAAGAATGTACAGGCGGACTTTTAATGGGCTCATTTTGTTAGTCTACTTCAGCCCATATTGTTTATAAATGATCTTGACGAGAATTCAATGGACTAGGTGTCAACGAGCCGAGTTCACAAGAAGAAACTCAAGGTTCTGGCTCGACTCAAGTAAAATGGTCCGAACTTTTTTGCCAGCTCGAGTCAAGATGAGTTTTTGCTCAGCCAAAAAATCTAAGCGGTGGACTTTTAATGGGCTCATTTTGTTGATCTACTTCAGCCCATATTGTTTATAAATGATATTGACGAGAATTCATTGGACTACGGTGTCAACGAGCCGAGTCCACAAGAAGAAACTCAAGATTCTGGCTCGATTCAAGTAAAATGGTCCGAACTTTTTTGCGAGCTCAAGCCGAAATGAGTTTTTGCTCGGCAAAAATATCTAGACTTGGTCCGAGCTTTCGACTTGGACTTTATCGAGCTGAGGTAGTCAGGCTTGATTTTATTTTATTTTTTCTTTATTTTTTGAAGCCGTGCTACAAATGCTACCTAACAACACGTTACTTTTATAAGGCAGCATGTTGCTACCTTTAACCTGTTTTATGGTAAGCAGCAGCACGGGGCCGGCTTGTGCTCAACCCAGCACCCCAAAATGAGGCTAGACCCGAGTCTCCAGTCAGGCCGATTCGGGGTTTTTTTGGACCGAGCCACAGGTGATCCAAACCGACGAGTCCCATTGCTATTCCTAAATATAAGGTCATCTTCACTGTCATATAAATCAATGATCAACTTCAATAAAATTTAATGTCAATATTCTAATGTCATATATGACATGTAATTATCACTATGATCATCAAGTTGTCCAATAAATAAAGTTGAATTGTTGTAAATACTAATTATTAAATGATTATCGTATTACTCTCGATGTAATTATTATGAATCATTATGACCATTGTACCCCCTATAACCATAATTTTGGAGACTTTAATTCTTAATAAAATACATAAAAATTTATTGACGCTCTCTTTTCATCCCTCGCACTTACTTTATAACACAAGCATGTTCTTATTCGCTGGAACTTAAAATGGTGATAAATAACATTATTCATCAAGAAAAGCATGTCGTAACATAAAATTTATCAAATAAAAAAAAAATTAAGTAGAGTATTTTATTTTAGTTTTGGTATTATTCCATTCATACCAATAGTTTCTTTAAGTTGACTGTCCAAATTATAGAATCAAAAAATTATGGATATTATTGCACGTGGAAATGTGAATTTGAGTCCATATTTTAGTTTTGAATATTGCTATTCACCCGTTGATAATCAACAGCTAATGTGTCATGAATTCGGTGTTACATTCTTCAATGAACTAAAATACATTCTAATTTCATAGAAAAATGTGGAAATTTTCTCTAAGTTTCGTGCTTAGAAATAGCATTACTCTTAAATTTTCTTTACAAACAAAAAATGTGGTTGTGGATGTGAGAAGAAAATGGGTACAAAGAAATTTTGCCACCTATCTTATTGGAAAATATAAAAAGAAGCATTACAGCCTTTTGTTATTTGAATACGCACTAAACCCTAAGAAGTAAATGTTAAGCATTATATTGAGGGCTGATCTTTTTAGATCTGTGGTTTGTAAACCTTCTACTGATATTCTATTGCTGGTTTCTAGTGGATTAGAGCGTTAACCACTTTGGTGGAAGCTCAACGTGGTGACGTAGCCCTTTTTGGGTGAACATTTGGGCCTACGGGCGAAAAATCCCTGTGCTCTTTTATATGTCTGTGCTTTTTCTTGGATTATTGGGACTGTTAATACCAACAGTGGTATCAGAGCGTCATCAATTTGATATACAATCTGATTCTTTGGCTTCTGGTGCTCTTCTTGACTGTCAAAGGCTTAGATCTTTGTCGATCTACACCAGTAAGGGTTCGATTCACTACTTCTGCTGAAAAGTAAAATAGTTTTGGTTTTCACTATTTTACATTGACATATTGAGACCCCTGGGTAACGAGTATCTGAACTCTTTCTTTATTTGGCGTCTGAATTACTGTTTAGTGTGTATATATATATATACACACTCAAGAACCCTTGGTTGAAGCCCTCTTTGATCCACCTTTGTCTAGGGTTATTTTCGAGAACCCAAGAAGCTTAGGAGACAAGATTAACGGTTTCTTCAAGGTTACTTTAATAGCCAAATCTCGTTATGTGTTATCTGTCTCTGTGTGTGTTAATTGCTGTGCACTTGAGTGTGATTTGGTCTGCTGCACATTAATTTATTGTGTTGTGTGTGCACATTTCTAAAATCCTATTTCTGAAGCTTTTGTACTTCGAACTTTTAAACTAATTCAAAGCTGTTGAAAATATATATTTTTTTTTTTTGTTTTCAAAACCAAAAATGACAAATGCAAAAATTGATATAGAAATCTGGAATGGAAAAGGGAATTTTACTTTTTGGAGTCAAAAAATGAAGGCACTTCTGATGCAACATAAATGTGTGAAAGCACTTGATGAGTCTTGGGAAGAAGAAATCATAGAAAGAAAAAGAAATGAACAAATCGATACTGCATGGAGTCTGATTTTCTTACACCTGTCTGATAGTGTCATTAGAGAAGTAGGAAATACTGAGACTGCTAAAGAAATTTGGACAAAACTTGAATCCCTTTATAAAACAAAATCACTTCTCAATAAATGTTAACTTTTTAAACAATTCTTTAGCTTCAAGTTTGCCCACATCTTGATCTTGAAGCAAATCTTGACAGATTTAACAAATTAACTCAAGATCTCACAAATAGTAGTGAAACACTCTCTGGTGAACACCAGGCAGTAGCCTTATTATCTGCCTTACCTGAAAAATACAAAGACTTAAGAAATGCTCTTGAATATAGAAAAACTTCCATTACTGTGGAAGTTATTATTGCTTCTTTAAGAAATAAAGAATTTGAGTTTCAAAGTGAAACTAAATCCTCTGTTGGTTTTGGTTATAATGTCAGAGGAAATAATCAATTCAAAAGAAACAACAATAACTTTTCAAATAAAAATCTTGGAAAACCAAAAGAGTACAATGAAAATTTTCATAAAGGTAAGACCAGATTTAATCATAATAACAATAAGGCTAAAGAAAGAAATGTTACTTTTGTGGAAAGATGGGTCACTTCATAAAAAATTGTATTAAAAGGATTGATGAACTGAAAAACATTAATAAAATTGAAGGTGGAGCTGCCATTGCTTATGAAGAAGCTGCAGGCTCAAATGGACAAGTCTGTGTGGCTAGTCAATCTTTAGTCAAGGATGAATGGATCCTTGATTCAGGATGTACATCTCACATGACACACTATAATGAATATTTTACTGATTTTTCAAAAATTAATGAAAGTCAAGTAATATTGGGAAATGATTTCACTTGTAAAATTTAAGGAATTGGCAAAGTTGATTTAAAACTAGAAAATGGAAATGTACCGACTCTGAACAAGATCAGATATATTCCCAAACTAAAGAGAAATCTGATCTCTTGAGGCATACTTGATGATGAAGGTTTTGATACAACTATAAACAAAGGCATTTTGAAATTACAAAAGAACTTGACAAAGATCACTTGTGTTGAAAAATCTAATAGGATCTATGTTTTAAAAACCTTGCCAATGATAAACCCACCTATTTTAGCAGCAGTTACTCAGTCTGATAAATCTGAAATTTGGCACAAAAGGCTAGGACATGTGAGTGATAAGAATTTATACATTCTTAAGAAACAAGGCCTTCTAGGAAATGAAAAAATTGAAAAGGTATCCTTCTGTGAACACTGCATTTATGGAAAAAAAATAAAACTACCATTTGGTACAGGTGTCCATATATCTAAGTCTATTCTTGAATATCTACGTACTGATCTGTGGGGACCAGCTACTGTGAATACATATTCTGATTTCAAATACTTTTTACTGATTGTTGATGATTTTTCAAAGAAGACTAGGGTTACCCTTTTGAAAAATAAATCAGATACTTTTCAAAACTTCGTAACATGGAAAACCTTAATTGAAAACCAGGTAAACAAAAAGGTTAAAGCTCTTAGAACTGACAATGGTCTTGAATTCAGCAATGAAGAATTTGATAATTTCTGTAATAATAATGGAATTTTAAAGTATAGAACTGTCACCTATACCCCACAACAAAATGGTCTAGCAGAGAGGATGAATAGGACCATGTTAGAAAGAGTTAGGTACATGTTAATTAGTACAGGACTTCCAAAATTGTTCGAGGGGAAGCTGTTAAAACTACATCATATCTGATAAACAAATGCCCACAAAATCCTTGAATTATGACACTCTTGATCATGTGTTGGAGTGGTCACCCTGTTGATTATTCCAAATTGAAAGTTTTTGATTGTGTAGTTTATGTACACCAAAATGAGGGTAAACTCGAACCTAGATCAATTAAAGGCATTTTTTTAGGATATGGTGAGGGTGTAAAAAGTTACAGAATCTGGGTTAAGGATCAGGGAGGTTACAGAGTCATAATCAGCAGAAATGTAATATTTCATGAAATGGACATGCCCCTGTACTAAAGAAAAAGCACCTACAGCCCCTCAAATAAGTGAAAATGATTCATCTTCAATCTGAAATCTCTCCACCCATCTCAGATCTTGAAACTAATGACCAGATTGAGGTGGAGCCTACTAATGAACAGGAAATAGCCCCTGAACCTGAATTTGAACATGAGATTGAACCTGAACTTGTTCCACCAATAAATCCCTTAGAAGACTATCAACTTACTAGAGATAGATGAAGGAGGGAGATAAGACCACCTATGAGATATAATGAATTAGCTTTTGTCATTGCCCTAAACATTCAGAATTTTTTTGACAATGAACATAATTCCTATGAAGAGGCCATTGGGGGAAAAATTTCAAATTCTTGACTTGCAGCTATGAAAGATGAAATGCTTTCACTTGACAAAAATAAGACTTGGGTCTTAGTTAATAAACCAAAAAGGGGAAAGCTTATTGACTGTAAATGGATTTACAAAATCAAAGAAGGTGACTCA